TTATAATCTCTTCAGAAGGCCTGCTGATCTCTTAAGAATACTGAAAAGGTTGTAGTCTCTACAGTAGACTCATGCAGTCAGTTGGGCAAGTTGACCACCAACTGTCATCATGGTGGTATTGGAAATGGAAGCAAATATCACAAATTTTCCAGTTCTTTTGTTCTCGGTTGTGCAGAAATAGGGGGTATTTCTCTTTGACTAGGAATGAAGCAGAAGCAGAAACTTATGTTCAGCCTTGGATAGCTTGAGTAACCCAAGCAGTTATGAAAATGCATGATGGGAGAAGTCTGACTCTATAGTATTATATGTTAGCAATCTCCATTTCAGGCAAGGGAATGTGAATCCCTAGTGCTGTTTCCTGTCTGGAAAAAATGTAAATAGTCTTTATTTATAGAAAAAGGAAAAAACTCTTTAAAAATGTGTAGCTTTTTACTGTTTAGTGCTATTTTTTTAAGAAGTGCTGCCCACAGAATTTTGGAAGTGCAGTTTGTTTCAGTAGTTAGCAAGCATGCTAATGCTAGCTTTCGACTTGTTTTCCTTTCCTCTGGTTTCTTTGCTATGCTGATCATTACAAGCCCTAATTGCTAGTATCAAAGTTGATGAAAACATTCAGATTCAGCGTTAATCACTACTGGCTTTTTTTTTTTTATTATCAGAAAGTCTGCACTTAGTAGAACACTAGCTTTTGAATTTTTTATGAATCTTCTATAAAGTTACTAAATCATCAGTTCTGTTTGTCTTCTAATCCATGGTTCAAATGCCAATCACAGCGTGCTGACAAGAACCATTTCTTCACAGTTTCTTCTTATGGTATCAAACCGAAGTACTTCTACTGAAATGACTTCTGTGGGTTTTTACTGTTTTTACTTTTTCCGGAAGAAAACTGAACTCTTCTTCCCATCCTTTTTTTCCTGAAGTTCAGTAAGATGGCCAGTCTTGTCTGAAAGTCTTTGGATTAGGACTGCAGTGGCTGCAGAAGCACGGCCACACCTGGCATACTATTTTAATCTGTCAAAGATGGATGTGTATGGATGAAAACATCTAGGAAGTAGTTGTTGGTTTTACAGTAGGCTGTATAACTAACAGTGTTTACTGCTTCCAGTGGCACCCGTTTTTTCAGGGAGAGCAGATTTTTTTTTTTTTTTTTTTTTTACAGTGCCTGAGAGTGTAAATTTTAAAGAAGTATATATTTTTCTAATGATATTTTACTACATGTAGTCTGTGTGAAGAACTTGATAGTTGTATTTCCAAAGCCTATGGCCTTCTTAGGAAACCAAACTCCTAAATCTTTCAATTCCATTTTTGTATTACGCATGTATTAATGAATGTTTCACTGGCAGAAGCTGACTTGCAGTAAGAATCTTTGTGTTGCTTGTCCAGATGTTCTTGTAGCTCTTTACCCTGTGAAACACTTCGCAGGCCATGCTGTACTTCTCATGTATATTTCAATGCAGCTTTATAGTTCTTTTTCTGGCTAGTGATTGAGACAGAAGAGGACAAAGAAGCTTGTCTCAAGTTGGCTGATTTCCTTAGAACAGAGAACAGTCCAATATTATTCGTCTGGAAAACCTGTAAGTAAAATCTATAGAAGTGCACTGTGATACTTCTTTAGCTTCATTATGCAACAAGGGAAAAATAGCTGTAGATCAATGAAGCAAGGGCAAGATGCATTTCTTCTGCAGAGCCTTGAATTTGTGGTCTGTATTACCTTTTTGTTGAATGTAGTTCATTAGGAGCAGCCAAACATTTGCTGCAGTTAGTGCTACTTTGCAAGCAACAAAGCAGTGTTTTGTAACTTTTTGTAACGTTTGCTTTTAACTTTGGTGCTCGAAACTATTAAAACCAGCTTGCTCTGTTCTGTGTAATAATCTGATGTATATAAGATTGGAGAATACTTCCTGTTGTAACTTTCTGTTTGTAAAACATCATATTGAAAATTGCATCATGGAGTACATTTCACTGTGCCATTTTTTTGACACAAGGCACGTAGTGCTGGGAAGTTGTTTCAAGAGTTGATGAAAATCATCATGACTTCAACAAGGTCAATAATGAAGTTCACACACTGAAGTTAGCTGCCACCAAGGGCCTGTTCCATCCATCAGAGTTCCACTGTCTGCAGATCCTTGCCAAGATGCCTGAAGACAAATGAATACTTGATTTCTTTTGGTTTTTCGATATTCTGATTTGTATGCAAAGCAGAATTTAATCAGCGTTGTCTTTCTACAGTTTGTTCTTACTGGCCTTGGCCATGTTAACACCAGCTTTGTAGTATCAATACTCTCTGGAATCTTTTGGAACTGAGAATCTTTTGGAATCTTTTGGAACTTTTTCAACCTATCTGAGGCTCTTTACATTCATGAACATTTCTGTTTTCACCATGGATAAACTTCTCTGCATTTATTCAGTAAAATTTTTAAAATCCTGTGGCTGTAGGCTGTTTTACCTCTGAGCATTTAAACCACCACCCTTGATGGTGGTACATGTGGCTACTGTAATTTCAGACTCGGAATGGGAATACTTTCTTACCATTTTGTACTTGCAGTTTTATTTAGCACCTTTTGTATGGACTCACAGTGACTTCATGCCTAACCATTTAGCTTATGGTTTAAACAAGTCTTGTCAGAATAAGCAGTTGAGTGTGAGCCTGCTCTAAAGCCCCGAAGGAGAAGCAAATCAACGGTTTTGCAGGGATAGGTTTGATAAATTGATGATGTTGAGATTTTTATTGGTTGCATTTGGAACAACTCCACAAACACTACGACAAAAGTAAGGTTTTTAATGAAGATACCAAATACGAGTTCAGACTTGAATAACTGGACTGAGCGAAGGGAACTTTTCAACATGTGATTGTTTTTATTTATCAGGAATGAGCACAATATATTTCTGTGACGCAATGCTTTTATTTCTCAATTGGTTCTGACAACACAACTGCTCTTGTTTCTTATGCGTGTTTGAACACTTAGTTTGTTTACAAAAAGGAGGATGAATATGAGCACAGATGAGAGTGCAGTGACCAAAGAAACATCAGTCACCTCTTAAAAGTCTGAATATTACTTGCCAAGGGGGTCTTTATTTCTGTTGACTCTTGTACAGTGCCATGTGGATAGATTTATACCTCAAGTACATTGAGGTTCATGTGGCAATTGGTTTATATATAGCATTACCTTGCTTTTTTGTCTCTTCACTCTATCCTTTCCTTTTCCTTCCTATACTGCCTGTGGGTTTTCATGCAGTTTGAATGTTTATCCTGTGTAAGGGGAGATCCTGTTTCTTCTGAGATGGCTTTTCTGAGTGACTTTTGGTGTGTGTGTATATATATGTATATATATATAATTTTTTTTTCTCAAGCCTTACATTTGATTAAATAAAATAAATGTTTTGTACTGCTGGAATTTGTTTTCTAAAATATTGCTTGCAATCACTACTGCTATTATTATTATCCTCTGTGAGGTAAAGGTGTGCTAATACTTAAGGTTTTTTTTTTTTTTTTTTACTCAACATAATTCTTGATATTTTTTTTCCAGTCTTGACTGATGAATTATAGGTGACCTGTGTGCTTTTCTCTTCACTGTTAATGGAAAGCCATGCAAAAAATGCAAGTTGAAAGTCAGTTCGCAGAGAAACAGTTATGCAATCTGCAGATATTTAAAAAAAAAAAACAACAAGTTATAAACTGATGTTTGTACTGTGATGACCACTAGTCTAGGTGTCACTCGGTTAATTACTGAGAGTCAAGTTTGTTCTACCTGAGCAATGGTCCTGAAATCATTGAGTGCAGAAGGGAAGTAACTTAACAGGTGTGAACATGAGGTTTACTTGATAATTTGGTGTGTCTGTATTGACCGTTTTGACTTTAAAACGTTAAAACAAAAACTTGCTTTGAATTTTAGAAAGATCAGAAACATTTAGCCAATAGATAATGGATTTATTGTTCATTTATCTAGGATAAGTGCTGTAGAATGTTAAGGCTGGATCATTTCTGTTAAAAATGGCAACCTTAGTGTTGGCTGCTAGAGGTGTGTGTGTGTATATAGAAGATTAAAAAAAAAAAAAAAAAAAAAAAAAAAAAAAAAAAAAACTTGTAATAATCCTGCTATATTCTGTCTTAATGCTATCAAGTGAATTGTCTGGAGTGGTTTTATGAAGTTCCCTTTCTTAGTGGAGAATATCTTAGTGGAGATACCTTTCTGAAATGCCAGTCATCTTCAAATCTTCACCCATGCCCACAACTGACTGGCTTTAATTTGTGTCTTGTCCAAGTACTGTCTGGACTGCGTATAATTCCAGATTATATTAGTTGTATCTCTGAACACAGGATGATGTTGTCCTCATGTGCTTAGCAGTACAGTTTGTTATATTAGTAGGTAAAAACTCAGATGACTTCTAAAGCAGAAATTAAAAGGAGGAAGAGGAGAGGGAGTTGGTTTGAAGGTACAGCTTTGTGGATGGTTGTGAGATTTCCAGTTAACAATAGGGTACACGGTTACATTCATAACGTGCAGGAGCTGAATTGGTACTGATCAGCCCATTGCTTTGTTTAATCAGTGGCTCACATCTAAACTAAATTTTGATTGCTTTGGGTTGTATGATCCAAGCTTTAGATTTTTATAATAATTTTCAAATCACCATGGTTTGGAAACACTTAAAGTAAAAATTGTGTTACTCTGATTTCAGAATGTGATGCAACTTAAATTGCAAAGGTGGTAATTGCCTGTTGGTTCTCACATAAGCAAGAGTGTTTGTAAACATTGACAGAATTTATTCCTACTGCATGTGTTGGTAGCTCAGTGAAGAACAGCAGTAATAAAGATATCTGTAGGTCAAATCATTTTATGTACAGTTTGAAAAGCAGGGGTTGTACCTGGTCTTTAATAGCATCAGTGCAGCAGGATGACAAATGTAAAGTGGCATTGGCAGAGCTGGCATCTTATCACATTTGCTTCAGAAATAGCATTGCTCTGTAGAGGAACTGCTCAGGAGTGCTCTGTAGAAGAAGGGGGCTAGTAGGGTGACTCTCCTTTCAAAATCTGCAATGTTAAAAGAGCTTCCTTGACCACATCTGCACTGCTGTGACTGCAGAGCTGTTCGAGTGTTTCTTTAATCTTGTTGTCTTCTATTTCTTGTCTCAGATGGCCTGAATGGGAGAGTAAATGCTAACTTAGTGATGTGCCATGGCACAGCCATTCCCAACAACTGTTGCAATATATGTGTTTGGAGTATTTGCTTTTTAAAATGAGCTGCTTTAGCATAGAATTGTTCACTTGGACAGGACATTAAAAAATGATCGAGTCCAAAGGTTAAGGTATGCTATGACTTAGGGCGCATTGTCAAAATGTCTGTTGGACACAGGCTTGGGCCATCAGCCGCCTTGCTAGGAAGTTGTTTGACCACCTTCAGAGGAAGCAGTTTTTTCTTATTAAATATGTTCCTCTCAATGGGTATTTTGTAACCCTTTGAAAGTATTTATTCTTATTTTTAAGAGTTTCACTTCAGTTTCTCTCTTTCAAAGCCTGGTTAAACAGCAGAAAAGTATTTTGAAAATATAGTACAAGCTTCACTTCAGTGTTTTTTTTTTTTTTTTTTTTTTTTTGCCTCTGTACTTTGCTAGCCTATCTATATTGTTAAGACTAGATTCTTACTGTTACAGATAAGTCTGCAGAATGTTAATGGAATGCATCTTTTCAGTTCAGATCTTTTGTGTGAAGGATGCATAGTCACACTGAAAGATGTGGGTACTTAGCCCTGAGCCAATACACGTATGACTACAGGGAAATATGCGTGCATTGCAAAATCCAGCTTGTCTGCCAAATATAGGGCAATGCCAGGACTTCAGAAGCAGCTCATCTTGTGGCAGATCTTTGGCAAAGCACAGCAATTGCTTTCAGTTTCCATAATTTATGCATAAAGACATAGTGAATTGTGGCATGAGATTTTTAGACTCCTGGTTTCAGAATGATTGTTTTAAGCTGACACCATGCTTCCAGGATCAGTCTCATCTTGCTTGGAAGCTTTTTCAGTCTTCCCTGACCAGAGATAGAGAGAAACTGAAATCATATCCTTCATTTGTTTTACTGAAACTTCCTATACATTTAACTGAGTGCTGATATAAAGGTGCTGTTTTATTTCAGCCTCTGGTTTCCCTGCAGTGTTGACAGAATAAAGGTATGTTGAACTGTGGAAGTGATGTGCAGACTCCATCATTCTTTGAAGACCTAAATGTTATGGTATAGGCAGGGGCTGAGACTGCTAGATGCCAGATTGGTGCATGATGAATTTATTCTAAGGCTCTGGTTTTGCTTATTCAGGAATTGATTCTGCCACAAACAGTGGAATAAAGCTTTTCTTATTTTTTTTTTTTAGCTTAACTAATAGCTTAATCAATTTATCATGAAATAAAACCATGAGTGAGATTTTTAGAGATCAATGAAGAATGAGCCTCTTTATCCTTTACTGTTCACTGATTGCAGTATCACAAGAACGGTACGTTTCAGAAACAGCAAATACTTCAATCACAAACATCCATCTTTGCATCACAAGAGTACTTAAAATGAAGTTACCTGAATTAAGAAGACTGCACAGAAGACTCATTGAATTATATTTCACCTCGGCACTCGTATTATCATCTTGTAGAAGTTTGTGTAAGCTTTGTACTAGCTGCGATTCCTTGAAAGATTCTTCAAGGGTTTCTGAAAAATAAGCAATCAGACACCTCAGCTGAAAAGATGATAGAATGTGAAGATGCTAGCATTTTCATAAAAATAAGATTTCTAACTGGCTTTGTTTAAAAGCAGTTACATAAACAAACATGTCTTGAGGACATTCTCAGTAATGGGGAATTAGCGTCTGATCGGTAGAATTTTTTTCCTCTGGCATCATTCTGGAAGATGTTATCCTACAGATGCTATAAGACAACATTAGATATTAAATTGATTCTGAGATACTTGGCGATACACTACGCATTAAGATGGGTTGTCTTGCTTTCCTTGTTGGTATAGAAAATTCTAAATTTAGTTGGCCTTCAGTTTCTTCTCATATATGTAGGTTTGTGGTGGTTGTTTTTGTTGTCACAAACTGAGCCCAATTTTTCAAATATGATCAATCATGCAGGATAAACCTGAGAAGTTACTGTACAATCTCTCTTAAAATTCAGCTTGCTAATAGTTACAGCATTTATAGTTTCGTAATTTTTCATTTTCAGATTATGCAGAGCCTTTTTGTCGGTGCTTTTCCTGTACTCCTACATTCAGATAACTGTCTTGTGAAAACTTTCATCCTTTTATAGATTTCAGTGATCATTCAAGTTCATAACCAGCCCCTGTGTAACTGTCTGCATTTACACCTTTTTTCATCGCTTTCTATATTTTTTTTTTGTAGGGTTTTTAACATGGCATGATACTGAATAAATTGTGCCTGTCCATACAACCTGATTATTTGACTATTTAACTCTACCTTAAACAAAAAAACAGACAAAAAAACCCCAAACATCCAACATCTAAACAATTCCTGAATTCTGTTCTTTGTCATTTTCTAGGTGGATAACCTCCTTTGTCTGAGGAGTTCTATCTAGACAGTCATGCTTTTACTTACAAGTAGAATTTGCAGCTTGGCTGTTGCTTAATAATATGAGGATTCTGCACAGATTAATACTTTCAGGAGAATAATACCTAAATCAATAGCAGATGCTATTGCCAGGGCGTTCAGAGCCTCGTTCTGCATGGCTTCGTGTTTGCTCATGGTCATGGAAACCAGGTGCTTCACTCCTTGTGCTTCCTGCACTGCTTTGACCACTTCCTGTTAGACGAAAGATGAAAGGACATAGATGGAAATGAGAGCTGTGAGTAGAATGGAAAGGGAAGAGATTGCATTCTTCAGTCTCCAGATAGATGGAAATGATTGGCCTGCTGCAGTATGAGCTGATGGTATGAAAATCAATGTATCGTAGGACTGGAGAAGTCTTTGGAACAAGTCGTGCACGTGTGCTTAAGGCTGTTCTAATTTACTTGAAATGTTGGTACATAGAAGTATGTAGAGAAGATGTGTGCATAGGTACCTTTGCATGGTCTCTAAGAGTTTCAGCTTGAATCTATTACAGTTTTTCTTTCAAGCCTTCAGACTAGCAGTGGTTTAGTTTTACACTCAAAGCCTACGCAGATAGTCTCTGCTTTTAATTCCACAGCTTCAGAGTAAAGCATAGTTGGATGTCTGTACATAATACCATGATTTACAAGAAAGAGAAGCTTGTTCTAATTCGCTAGCAGGTACAGCTCACACTGGATTCATCGTTTTCAACAGACAGACAAGTAAGCTGTTTGGAGCTTGTGAAAGATGTGCAGGATACAGCTGGCTTATATTTACCATTTAAAATAGGTATTTGAAACTAATTTATTTATGGAAATAGAAAAGCGTCACTTAACATTGGTCAAGCCTTAATTTGAGCAGGGTAGAAGTTAACAAGTGACAGTCATTACCATGTTGCTTGTTTTTGTGATTTCTATCTGTGCAGTGAATTGCATTTTTTGCTTCTGTCTCTCCAGTTGCTACTGATGCTGGCTAGAGATACTTTTAACAAAATATATATGTATATGTTTTTAAATTATATAATCGTACACACCATTTAACATTTTACCCCTAGCTTATATGGACAAGCTTTAAAAAAAATTTAAGGAGGACGGGTTTAAAACATATGCTCTCATACTTGGGATCTGTTGTGACGCAAGATTGATGCTAGGAGCCGATTTGCTTCTCCACAAACGTCGGTGTCGTCACTGACATCGCACCACTGCACCAGTCTGTTCAGCAGCATGGGGTCTTGGCCCAAAATTTCAGCCGCGTCAGCTGAAGAGAAAAACATCAGCAGCAGACATTTACAATCTCAGTCTTTGTCCCAGAAATATGAATGTAAAATTAGCAAAGGATACTGAGCTCCATCTTGTGGTCTAAGCTGTAAATAAAGCATTGGGCTTGAATGATCTTGGATATCTTTGCCTGTGGAATGTCAGTTGTTTCAGGACACGTCTTGGAGGTAAAAACATAAATCAAGCTGTTCTTGTAAAGCTAAACTTTTCATAGGCTGCTGAAGGCTTAAAATAAACAATTCGGATCTTTGAAAGCAAATCTTACGTTACTGTATTGAAAACTTCATATGTGGCCTATCCCTTTCCCTTTATTTCTTGCATATTTGCCCTTTGAGCCCTGTATGAATGTCGTCATAAGCTCTTTGGAACCTTGCCATTTCTTTGTTCTCAGTAATGGGCATAATTATGGTTGGTATAATGTGAAAAGTCTAAGGCTTAGTACAGATTTGCAGCATGCCTGTAGTTACACTCTTGAGTTGTTAAACTGTCTATTAGATGTAACTAATATTTGTCATAAGTTTGGAGGAACTTGTTTCTTTGCTTTTCCCTGTGCTTCAGCAACCGCATCTCAGGACTTCCCAGAAGCATTAATCGATATTATTGACACTTGGAAAAAACCTACTGGATAAATTCTTGAAATTGATGAAATACTGTGATTTAAGACTTGTGCCAGTAAAGGAAACTAAACCCTAAACTCTTAAAATTCAGTAGCAGAAGAAGCTAGAGTGCTGCAGATGCCATTGCAGTATTGCGTCAGTCTAGTACCGTAGCACTTGAGTCTTGTGTACTTTAATGCACATACTAGTCACAGGACTGATGCTCGCTTTGATTGTGTTCTATTTTCAAGAATACATTGTGGTAATAAATTTTAGCTGAAATTTAAGAGTCTGGTTTTATTCCTTGTGATTGAGGAATTTTATATTTGACTTCATGCTGGTCATTCTGAGCTTTTCCCCATTCCCCATGTGTTTGTTTTGAGTGGCATGTTGTATGATAAACTCCGGTAATGAAAAGGCTTTATTTCTAGGTCAGATGTTACATGTTAGTCTGAGGAGATCATGGTAATCCAGTTTAGTTGAGAAAGCTGACAAAGGTAAGAGGGTGGCAAATGAAACTGGTGTAAGAGGTTTGTTCAAAGAAGGGGTCTTGACCCAGTTTGTCAGGGATTTCCTGATGTCTACCAGTGATAGATCTCTGAGACAAAAACCAATTAGTCAATGTTAACAGGAACAGAAGGACCTCTTGGCTTACAAAATGCCAAGCTTCAATAAATTGTGCATATTACTGACCTTGAATTTGAGCTGCATGTCCTTTGACCATGTAGCGAGGTGCACAAATTCTTTTGCAGCTCTAAAGCAAAGATTATTGCTGTGTTCTTTTTAGTGTAACAAAGCTGACACGTTTCAGTGTGTTTTTCTATAGTTGGAGAGAAACCTGCCTTTTCTAGTCTATTTTATAAGCCTCAGCATGCCCAGTGATTGTCAGTACTTAATTTACCCTAGATAAGGCAATTAACTAATTTAGTGTGGACTTGCTAGTAGATGCGTATTCATAAGAGTCTCAGACTGAGTTAATTAAGGGCAATGTTAGCTCTTGGGTAAACAAAATAGAAAGTAATTAAAGGTGGGAGAAGTGTGTGCTCATAGATGTAAATGGGTAAACACTGAATAATCTTCTATATCTTTTTTTTTCTACTCAACATTATTGTATTGGTACTGTTTCATATTCAGAAGCTTTGTGCCAAATTTTAGTTTCTTATTAGGGCTTGCAAACAACATTAAGTTAAAAACAGTAATAATAAGTAATACAGTATTTAATATTGTAGATCTGCACTATTATTGTGACTCAATTAAAAAAAAATTAAGTCTCCCCTCTCACAGTCAAGATATAACTTCAGAGAAATGACATTTCACTGACTTGCTTCAAAACCTAAGAGGCTGAACTCCTGTATATCTTGCTATGTTGAAATTTAAGTGGAAGCAGGTTTCTAAAAGGGTTGGAATCAGTGCAAACTAATGAGTGCTAGATCTTACCTTGATAACTAAATTGATCAGTGTTCCAGAGCAGCTGCTCAGGTGACTTCAGACCACTGTTGTACTGTTACTATAAAAAGCTGCAGCAACTTGTTTTTATGTATATGTTCTGCTAAGAAACTGAATACATTTAAAAGTTAGGATGTTGTCATAATGTTAACGTAATTGTGAGGTTTTGTGCCTTAATTGTGCACTTTGCATATAGCTAGATTGTGCATAGATTGAAGCATTCAGTGAAGGCTGTTGCCTTTGCAAGCTCATCTCAGTGTAAAGCAAAATGATGTGAAGAGCAAGCAGATAATCCCTTAATTTCAACATTTGAGCCTTACCAAAACTAACCTGTGAAAATATATATGAGAGAGACTACGTTACTGGACTGGTGGTAGCAACTCATTTTTCATAAACCTCAACTCCTTTGTATTGTTTAATTCTTCTGTTTGTTTATTTTTTAGCTATCTGGCATTACAAATCCTTTCCATCATACTCATGCTTTGTTGATGTATTTTCTGTAGAAAACATTTTCCTTTTGGCATTTGGCATTTCTCACTGACTACTACAGGTTGTTTATTTGGTGTGTTCCTCATCTATTGAGGTTGACTGAGAGTGATGTGGGAAGGCTTTTGCAGCCCTGAGCAATGGTCTCTGTGGGAACCTCGCCTGAGGGAGTGGAATTAGGTTAGCGGGATGCTTAGCCTGTCCTCTCCCTGTACGTGCCCTATGGGACACAGGAAGGAGAAGAATTTGTAGTTGACATCAGTAAACGTCAGCAATTCCCTACCTTGGCCATCTGCTAACATTCGTAGTGTTCCAAGAAGTTTAAACTGCGCAGGAGGCATCTCTGACCGTAGAAGTGCCTGAATCCGTTCTGCCACGCCTTCCTCCAGCATTTGAACCTTGTTAACAACTAGAGAATGGAATTGGTGAATAGAAAGGAATTAATGGGAAGTTAAGTCATTACACAAACATCTGAAATTACAGTTATGACTTAATATAATCATTGTTCTGAATCTAGTGTTCTATTATGCTTTTAGCAGAAAGGTCCAACTTAGTAGAAAAGTTGGAGATAAGGTCAGGACAGGCCAACTATTTAGGTCTGTGTTTTGAGCTAAAAGCTTTCAAGAAATTGCTGTTAGAAGACTTCTGGGTCTTTTGATCTCAAGCCTCCCCAGAACACAGTAAAAAACAGGATAAACACAACACTCTTGTTTCTCTTTGTATATCTTGTAATAGATTTCTATTCACTTGCCCACTTGCTTGATCAAGGCTTTTTCTGTTCTTGCTTATCTTAACTGAGCTGAGTGGCAGAAATGACTTGCATAACCGTACTGGTTGCATATGATGTTTCTTTTATTTGAGCTCGCTGGTCCTCTGTTGTTCATGCCTTTGTTTCTTTGCTTTCCTCTCTCAAATCTTGCCTTTGCTCCTTGTTAGTGTAGTAATCCCTGGTAATAATCAGAAGCTTGTCTGGAAACAGTCCTAATGCTGCTTAACTGTGCTACCTAAGCTGCTTCCTCCAGAGCAATTTTCCTCCAATCTTACATGTGCCTTGCAGGATATGTAGGCGACAGTGAAAGGAGTAAGATGTGCCACAGAAATCTTCCTGACTGGGAAGAAACAAAGGTATATCTCAATACAAATGGAAGCCAACTAGCAAGTAGTATGTTGTGGGGCTCTTGTTTATTCAAAGCAGTGACTATATATAGAAATGTTTACTCAACTAAGCATGCTGGCTAGTTGACGTAATAACTCTATGCTTTAATTTTCAGAAAATAATGTTGGTGCCTTGTTCTTATTTGAAGTGCTCTGCAGCAGTGTGAGGACTGTGGTGTGGGGTGCTGTTCTGTTAGGTCTGTAGTAAAATCTTCTTGGTCTGAGTTGTACTTTCACGTGGAAGCTGTAGTTTAGAGATTAGAGGTAACAGAGTTTTCTGGTACATATTAAAGATCGTGAGAGTGGAGTTTTAAAACTCTTACACACGCAACATTTCCAGTAGATATGGGCTTTATAGAAGAATGAATTTATAATGTCTACCGAGTGTGGTGAGATAGCTTATAGTACAAAACATGGGGTGAAGTTATAAGCGTTACGTGTTTTTGTCTTTAACCTCTGTGTGCTTTTAATGTGAAATCACTTCAGCAGCTGACAACGAGATCAGGCTGTATTATATTTAGGTCCCTTGTATATATGGTAAGTCCAGATGGGTTACATAAAGTGCTTCTGTAGGGTGGAAAAAACTCAGTTGTCCTCCAGAATACGGAGGACTGGAATTGGTGACGTGGACATAACTGCACAGATCTCTATTAAATGACCCAGCTTTACAAAGAATCACAGTAAATCTGTCATGTTCAAACTGTACCTGGGACAGCAAGGTTTCGAAGTGCACTGAGTGCTGCATGTTGAACAGAGATGTCTTCACTCTCCACGTGTTTTTCCAAAAGATCCAGAAGCTGATGTATGACTCCCACCTGTACCATTCGTACACAGTTGCCATCTAAGGAAATAGGAGAAACCAAGCAGGTGGGGGAGGTGAGATGAGAATCGCTGGTAGAATTTAAGTAATATGAATTGAGAATTCAGAGAGTCTTTGCTTGGTCTCTTATAACGTTTTGAAAAGATTGAGATGGAAGCTTTTGGCAGTAGTTTTTAGAAGCTTCAAATCTTTAGAGAGAAAAGTGAACATAAGCTGCCTGTGAACTGATGCTGAGATGCATCCTTGAGTAAGACATGGCTTGACAACTCTTTCTAGAGCCATTCACTGTCAGATTAAAAGCCATATCTTTACCAATAAATTTCTTTCTCCAGTACTGCTTTAATTTCCCTTGTATATATGTGATGGAATTCTAGTGGTGTTTCACATTTCTCTGCAGGATAGCTTTAATACTCCAATTTTGCTATTCTACTTGTTTAAGAGACTATTGTGATACTATCTACCTTATCCAGCAGTTGTTAGTCTGATTACTTGTTTTGTACGATGACTCCTCCTTTTATATAGTAAGATTGTTAGATTTTTTTCTTAACTGTTCTGAGAAACGCACTTTGTGAAATAAGTCTTTGTTGCACTCATGAAACTAGAAAAAACTCTAGATTTAGAGAGTTTATATGTGTTCAAACCTGGAGAAAGAGTGGATTTGTGCTTTCCAAAGAACAATGATTTTGGGCAGTATGTGCTCCACGATTCTTTTTGAGTATCTGTATGTCTGTATTGTCTCCCTTTCTTTGAGAACACTCTGCAGGGATGACAACCCTTTCATTATCAGAAGTTCTTTAGCTCCCTTTGATAGGAAATGTGATTGTGTTCTCTTAAAGAGTTGAAGGAAACTGCTACCCTCCAAATCTTTCCTGAACGAAGTGTTTTGAAGATGCCATTTGGCAAATATTTTTCTGTATTTGATTATTCTGTTTAGTTAATCACATTGCAAGCAAAGCATCTTCTTGACACCAGTCAACATTATTTCATTGCTGTGTTCTTACTGTATGAATACTTGTTGATTAAAAGATGGCAAAAAATTGTCAGTGCTACTCAGGAAGATCACATCCTCACGTGGGATAATGAATTACTTATTTAGCTAATACAGTCTTAGTACATATTTGACCAAAAGTAGGTTTAGTTGATTCTTATGCTGCTAGCTGCATGCCTAAAATATACCAAGTTCTAGTTTTTTGTGTATACTGCTTAACTGGCCATATGTAGTAGTTTTTAAGGTTTGTGCTGGTCTGAATGCTATTTCTACTCCAAAGCAGTAGAAACTATTCCCTTTTGAATGTTCCCTTTTGAACCAACAGCACTGCTCTTTTAGTGTTTTTTCTGCTGTTGCATTTCAGTTGGTGGCATGTTTTTCTTCCTAAATTTTTGTGTGTACAATAAGAATGTAAAAGTATTTGAGTGTAAGTAGATATTTTCATGAGTAAACTGTTAGTCAGAGAAGTACTTCAAATTTCATTCGTGCAAAATTTTTTAAATTACAGTTTCGTGTCTGCATTCTGTAAAGAGGATGATTGAAGAACCACAAGTAAAAACATGTTCTCTTGCCTGGCCCTAATCTTTGGACATTAGAGTATAAGAGGAAAGTTGCCTAGCTCTATTAAGGAATAAGTTCTCAGAAAATAGACTGTTTTAGGCTGACAGAATTCTACGGGCAAAAAATGCTTTAACTTCCATACAGGCTAATCTTCACTGAACTTAATTTTTCTACACCCCCAACCTTTCAAACCAAAGAATGGCTAAGCATCTTTTTCCTCTTGTAGTAAAGTACAGGTAGTGGAACCCAGTAGCGACTGCCTTGCTTTGATTGTTCCAGAGTTCCAAATTGGTTCCCTCTCTTATGGATTTTTGCTTGGCTGGTAGCAGAATTTAGCGGCTCATAGTTAAGTTGCTAGGAACAACCACCTCGATGGCTGCAAAAGGTGCCATTTTTCACTGCCTTAGAAGTCAGTTGATGCTGACATGGGGTTTCCATGGGATTTCTTTTCATAGATTAAAGCTATGCATACAGCAGTGGCACAAACTGGGATGTGAAAAGGATTATTCAATTTTTCCCCAAGAAATATCTAATGGGGTTGTGGGAGAGATGGAGGAGGAAGAGGGAGTGACAAAGCAAGCCATTCAGCTGAGTAAATGGAAGATAGCGAGTTGAAAAGCACAGAGGGCTTCATAGTCAGTGACACACAATGGCTGATTAAGAGCTAAGTCAGAGACCACGAATAAAGGAAGTATAAGGAGGATGTAGGGGAGAGGTAGGGAGAAACACATATGGTAGTCACAGCTTTTTTTCTGAAGCTTACTATATTGCTGACCATTCAGAGAGATCTGAGGGAGTCCTTTCTGATAATTAAATTAATGGAGAAAGTCGAGCAGTGTTGAAAAAGCTCTTTTTTGTTTGAACCCAGTTTGATCCCAGTACAACAGCTGTCAGTGGCAGAGGAATGGACAGAAAACGTAGGTTTTCCTCTGACTGATTCAGCACAGTAAGGCTTCCCAGGAATCTCTTCATAAGAGTTTCTCTGTTTCTCTCTGCATCGTATTAAAGCTCAAAGATCTCTAAAATAGGAAAGCATGAAAGATAAAAATGACTTAACTTGAGCTTTTTTGTCTGTGTATTTTGAACAAATGAATTTGCTATGAAACTGTTCCAGAGTCTCATCTCTATTAATATGCGTTTTATGTAAAACAAAGTATGAATGCTTGCATCCCTGATCACCCTATTTTTGACCATTGTTCCTTAGATTATTTCAACATTAGTTTTTGTTACTAAAAAGTATTCAAGTCTTCAGCCTGCAGAAAAGCAAGTTATTAAGAGACGTGCAGCAAATGAAATCTAATAGTGTTGCTTTTCCCTCTACTTATAAACAGTGGCTTTTTAGGTATGATGGGTAGAGAACAATCAACCTTACCATTATTTTTGTAAAGCTGACAATAACCGATCCTCCTGACTCTATATCTGCATGTTTGGATATGAGGCAGGTTCCAGCATTCTGGGAGAGAATGCCACATCCCTTAGACAAAATTTAGCATGTACTTATCTGAGGCATAATAAATGGAAAATGTCAAGTACATCTTACGTCTGTTTGTAGATAGCCACACAGTGAGTTGTTCTATCTGTCTTTGGAGGGATCCAGGGGAAAATCTGAATCGATGACAACTTCAATTATTAACAATGACAACAACCTTTAAAACCTTTGACTGATGTTTCCTTTGGGATTTGGGAGTGGGGTGCAGTGTAAGCATGCAGTTCTTGAAACTTATTTTTTCATTTGCCCAAAATGACAACAGGGATAACAGGGACACCTAAACTTAGGTGCCATTAGAAGTCTTCAGACTTTTTGCAGTGTGTCTCAAATCAGCTTAAAGACTTAGAGAAAACTCTAGGTCAGCTATGTGTATGGTCTGGAATGATGTTTTTTTTCTGCTTCACAGATACACAATCTATATTACAAATAAATTTTTAAGTTTATTGGTTAATCCGAATATTTGAAGTATATACATGGGCTTGAAGCAGTGAATGAGAAAGAAATAAATGGCTCAAGGCCATGTAAATGTTTTAATCTGACAACTGGCTTTAAATTCAAAGCAATCTGTTAGGCCAGTTTTGAAAGTGAAGTGTTAGAAGCTGTATGTGGACTGACCAGCCTTGGGTACAGCTGCAATGGCCTGAAATTCTACCTGCACAGAGGTATTATCTTCTGCCAAGAGGCAGTCATAGTAACATTAGATGGCTTGAACCAGCATACAGGTGACACTTGAATGGAAACATGGGAACGTGAGCATACAACTGCTATAAATAAGGAAAGGATGATGTCTGAGTAATCCATTGGGTTATGAAACAGGTTGCAGATGTGTCTGTCAAGGAAATGGAAGACAATAAGCAAATGGCAACTCCTATTCCAATGGGATTTTGTGATGTTCTTTGTATCTGGAATGTGTGGGTTGTTGGTTTGTTTTACCTCCAAGAAGCAGAGAGACGATGAGATCGGATGTGGCCTTCACAACGCATGTGTCTTCAGCTTGTGAACTGCCCTGGAGCCTCAGCAGGATGTCGGACAGGACCTCTTGCACACCTGCCTCCACCAGCTGAACTTTCAGAGCATCTGCAGGCATCAGAAAAGCACACTAAGAGTTGGGTCATTGGGTTATTTGTGAAGTGTCTGAAGCAAGGAAGCCTTTACTTCAAGCTAGTCTCTCTTCCAGATGTGCTCTTTTTTGTTGATTGTTTTTTGTTTTGTTTTTAACAGACGTCTTGGTGCTTGGATGATACCACAGGCCGAATGAGCAAAGCTTCAGAGCTGATCCTTAAAGTTTGCTGTATTGCCAGTTAAGAGTTTTCAATTTTAAAGTCTTCATCAAGTATCTAGATACCTTTGAATGCTTACCATCATAGAATCACTGAATATTTGGGGGTGGAAGGGTCTTAAAAGCCCACCAAGTTCCAACCTCTCGCTGTGGGCTGGTTGCCATCTGTTAAGGCTGCCCAGCGTCCCATCCAACCAGGCCTTGAACGCCTCCAGGGATGGGGCACCCACAGCTTTTCTGTTCCATTGCCTCACCAACTCTGAGTGGATAATCTCGTAATATCTAATCTAAATCTCTCTTTTAGTCACAAACTGTTCCTCCTTGTCCTATCACTATCAGACTGCGTTAAAGTTTGTCAGTGAAAAGAATTTAGTCTGTTTTTCAGTTGTAAAGTCATGTTCTCCCTCAGTTCGTGCTTTACTGAAATAGAGCGGAAATGACTACTCTCACCTTCCTTTTTTTTTTTTTTTTTTTTTTTAACTTCCAAGTTTTAATCTTGTGGTTTATTTCCACTGAAGGGGTTACTGATTTCCACTAGTAGGATCCCATAGCAAACTCAGGTCTAAAGCTAAGCACCAGTATAATTTTCTCTCCTCCTTCCAAGCCTATAGAAGCCTTACCATTTTCTGCAAGCGCTTGGAGGACCTCAAAGATGATTTCTAACCTCTCATGGTTCTCTGCTCTTCTCAGTTGTTTCACCAGCTGTTCAGCAACCTTTGTCTTGCTCAGAGCTTCCTTAGCTGTATCTGTACATGTGAAAAAGCCACCATTAGAAATTTTTCTATGTTCAATAAAATGTTAAAATTGTCTTCATGTAATCAGAAATGATAGAAGTTAAATGGGTTTTGAAAGGTTTTATTTGTAGATTATGTCACTTCGGACAGCATGGAGAGAGCAAAACTCTGTTATCACTTCTTTACACTTTCTTTTACTTAATGTTGTTTTTGTTTACTTTCTGTAGCTATGTTTTATAATAGCTGTAAAATTAACCCTAACTGTAGCTCTGCTTACCCTTATACATCCATCTATAGTATGATTATTTCATTTATCAAATTGGCTTTTCACACATGCCAGTTTGCTTTAGCAGTGTATTTTCTTCATTGATTAGGTTAAATGGCTTTAATCTTGCTAAGATCTTGAACTTATGCAAGATACGTGTGAACCCCGTTCTTTGCATCTCCCACTGTAGGTAGGAAGCAACAGTTTAAACTGTAGAGTCAGACCATGTAGAAGGTGAGGTAACTTCTGTTTGGTCTTCCTCTTCCATCACTACTTTGTGTAAGGTAGCACAGATTAAGTTGATGTAGATGCCTTTTTCTTGAAAATTGTGTCAATTCAAAGCTAAGCTGTTTCATTAAGGTTTTTATACACTAATTATTAAAAAGTAGTAATTTTTAGAATTTCATATTCCATATATGAATAGTTGAAACGATGTCAATTTACAGTAGGTAAAGTTATGCTATCTATACTTCTTTATGGAGCAAAAAAATATTATTTTGAGATGATCCAGCAGTTGCTGATACTCCAGGACAGAGTAGCTACTTTACTAACATGGATGTTGTGACCAATTCCTGATTATGTACCAGTAGGGGATAACAAAAAAAAAAAAAAAAAAGGCAAACAAAATGCCCAGCAAAAAAAACCCCGGATGTGTGGGCGTTCTGCACATAAAGGGAGAGGTGTGAAGATGGCATTTTCCTGCAAGATATGAAGGCATTTACTTACCAAGGTCTGCAAGATTGCATAAGGCCAATAGGTCAACGTGGACAAGTGGTTCACTCTCTGCGTGATCAGTCAATATTCGGACCAGTGATGGGATGACTCCTACCTTTACCAGCTCTTCCTGAAGATCACCTGGTAATAGCAAGTACAGAAGTTAAGGGTGGTTAAATAGAGACCAATTAATGAAGTAAAGAGGATCCAACTGAGTTGCTCTGTAGCAAGACAATGCAGTTCATTCTTGCAGTGCTAGATTTCACGCAGCTTTGATATCGTGAGTTCAGGCTGGTATGTGTACGTGAAAAATGCTGATTCAGGACAGTTCTGCTAGGCCTCCTGGTTTTACTTGGGCCTGAGTAGTTTAAAAAAAAAAAAAACAAAAAAAAAAAAACCACAAAACAGATTAAGGCAGTTGAATGAGTATACTGATTTGTACAACAGCTTCTAGTATGAGTTCTGATGGACTAGATAGCAACGTGTCTCTTGGTAACTGTCCTAAAATGGAGAGAGGAACATACATTGGCTTATTTCTTTCAGGGAGTAGCAACCTGTGCTGTATTATCCATTGGCTTCCGTCATCCTGAGGGGCAGGGACATACGTGCTCTTTGTTAGTAACAATTATTTTTTGAGGAAGAAAAAGGTTACATTAAAGTATTCTAGGAGAATAATCCTCTTCACTATTTTTTTTTTCCAGTTTTAATTGCTCTGAATCTTGAGATTCAGGAAATGCTTGAGTTCTATCCATCTTCTGTGTTTTCATAGGCTGAGAAAGGTCCTCAGACCAATGCAGATCAGTGTAGCTCGAGGGAAGTCAGTAAAGTACAGTGGATTGAAATTAATTTGTTCCTAGTTCTTGTATACTAATAACAGTTGTTTCTGCTTTGCAGAACTGTTGAGAAAACAGTTTACTGGTTTTGTAGTTTTAATTATGTAGTTATGTAATTATGTAGTTTTATGTAGTTTTAGTTAGAATGAAAAACTAGTCTTTACAGTACTTTTGAGAATGGCATGAACTGAAATACAAAGCTGATCAGGGATTGTTGCTTAACACTGCAATAACATTGCTGTCATGAAAGTGTCTTGCTGAGACCTAGACTGCACTTCAGTTGGCAGCGTGTACGACCAGCACCAGGAAAAGCAGCTGAGTGCTATTGTACAACTTATAATCAGGGAATCACTGGACCAATTTTCAGGAGGGTAGTAGAGTCTGTACCAGATATGTATATGCATATGTATGTGCTTGTATTTCATAGCAGTAGGACAGGATGGTTTTCTAGATAAAGCTACGTGGTTCCCCACTAGAAAGATAAGGGAAATTAGATGGAGAGAAACTGATAATACGTACTGGTTGAGAATCTCCATTATTAGCTCCACTAAGCACTAAGTATTTTGATCGGGGTAGGAATTAAAGATGAAAGAAAAAAATCTAGAGAAATCTATTGGGGCAATTAAGTGAAAATAGTATCAATTTGTAGGTCAGCAGGCTAGCTGGTATTCTGACTGTATGGAAGCCTTTACATCACAGATGTTTTCTGTATTCAAAGAATGTTCTTTAATGAAGAAGCAGTTATGTCATTATTAGTTCTTTTTAGTGTGTTTCTTTTTTTTTTTCTTCTGACACACTTTTAAAGAAATGCTTTGCCTTCTAAACACTTACTGTGTTGGGTGAAGTCAATGACCTTCAGGATTTGGCTTCAAGGCACTTCTACGCAGCTAATTAAGATTCATATGAAGCTCTGCTACTCTTTGAAGATCAGGAGCATTCAGTCTCTGGTCTGACAAATATGTATCACCACACAATCAAAATATATGGGGAAACTTAGAGTTTGAGTTGTTTGGAGTGCATTCAGCCTGGCAATATATGAGCTGTGTGAACTGTATCACAGGAGGTTGAAGAACATTGCATGCTCAGGTCTCAAAGTGTAGCTTGTCATTCAAAATAATTTCTTGCAGATAGCAAAAAATAGGGTTCTCTGAAATAGATACTTACGATTATCATAACAGATGCGACCAATAGCCCTCCCAGCATGAAGCAACATGTCTTGGTCTGTGCTTTCCAGAAAAGGTATCAAGGTCAGAACCAAATCTGCTTCAATACACGGTTTCTTCATTTCATCTGCATTGTTAAAGGAGAGGGACTGTAGTCTTTGCCAATAGAACAATTGCAATTGCAAGACCAGTAACTGGTGAGCATTAAAAGGTGGAAAAACACAGCTAACATGCTATAACGTGCCCTGTAGTAACGTTGTATGTGCTAAAATACAACCTACCATTCTTAGCTATCTCTGAAAGCACCTGGGCTGCTTTTACTGCACATCGTGGATTGCTTTTCAGGATTTTTGCCAAAGATAGGAAGATCCCACTCTCTTGGATTAGGCGGAAGGTTCTCTGCTCTGTAACAATAAGAGTGTTTACAACACTTGCTATAGATTGGGAACTACTTAGGCTTTGCTTGGTTTCCTAGAGTTATGAGAGTGTATCTTTGGATCCAAGGTTTTGGTTTAACAAGGTACTTAGTCTGTCCCAGTCTAAATATATGGGAAAACTCATCTGCTTAAATTGTAGCAAGTGTCTATCCATCTGATTATTCTACTTAGTGCTGAATTGAAGCACAGGTGGCAAAGCAAAGAGGAAAACATTTTCATCTTCTCTGACTATAAAAAGATGCTTATGTAAGACATGGGAAGTCATGGATTAAGATTCTATTCCTGATGCGTGGCCTAGCCATTAATTTTGTAGGTATGCACAATATCTTTTATTAGACCAGCAATTAGAACAGTCAACTCCCTCAGACTTTTTGCATCAAAAGCATGACTAATTGTCCTTAAAGTAGTAAATCACCATTCACCAAGGTATTCAGATAAATTCAGGTTTGTCATCTCTGGAAAGTGTGCAGAGTCCTTAAGATGTTATCCTAAGGAGAGAAAGAACTATTTATTTAATTCTTGTCTGACTGGTGGAGGTCTTAGACCAGACCCTAGACAACAAAAATGAAATGAATGCTGTCCGATGAATGAAACAGTTGATGAACTTTCTTGATATAAGAATTAGAATCTTTCTGATGCTGTAGTTAGCAACCTATCAAAGGATCCCATCTAACATGCTTCTCTTTCAAAGCAGATATTTATTTATTTCCTAGGTCAAACAGACTTTGATTGCTTTAGATATGGGAGAAGTTGTATCATTGTAGAAGGTCTACAGGAAGCAGTAATTAGTTGTATAAAACTGCAGTGCCAGCCATTTCTGTACATCTCATTATTTTGCTTTGACTGCTACACATACACTGTGACTATTATGCAACCCAGACACACTGTTGTAGTTTTGAGATGTAGATCAGTCAATTAATTTGCTTTCAACCAGCTATCCCTGGGAGACAGTTGAATAATGCACCTATTGATTGTCCTGTTTATAAAAGGTAAAGGGTGGTTGAATGAGTTTTTTAGACACATTTTCTTCTTAAGTTGTTACATAAAGGAGTACTATAATATGGAAATGTCTTTGCAATGTCATTCCTTAATAATTTAGTTAAAAGTTAATAAGCTTTCTTAGCAGAGCTAAGTCGTCTTAGGACTTCACACAAATACAGAAAAGGAGGTTGAGGTCTGACTTAGTGTGTGGAAGTTGGCATAACTGTAAATGTCGAGCCATGTTATAGCCATGGTATCTTATTTATTTGTTTGCTAGTAAATCGAGTACTATTCGGTACATGAAGATTTTCTTAACATTTCTAATCTGTTTGTTTGCTGAATTTGGATGCTGTGCTTTTCTTGGCCTGGAACACTGAAGCACATCTGTCTGCGTTAAAAATATGCTGAATAATATTGCAAGCATATGTCATAACTACAAATGTGGTTTCGTACTAATATACAAATAGTTCACGTTTTGGAATAAATCCTCTCTAGTACATAGCAGCCTGTGGATATTGCTGAAGACCTTATAATCTGGACGCAAATAAAAGCATTTAGGAAGTCTGGTTAATGAGGAAAGACCATGACAACCTGTGACAGCCTGTGAGAATTCAGATCTCATCATCCAAAATGCCTCTGAAATATTTAGAGATGCTATTGCTGTATTTATTCTTCAGATTTTTGTAACTTGTTTTCTGTGAGCTGAGAGGTGTTTAGGTGCGCTGTATGAAGCGTGCCGTTGTACCAGTGCGGCCACTGGCGAAATCCCTGTGCTTGGAAAGAGGAAGGACTGCTGCCACGTGAATGCTGACAGGTAAAGCAACCTTCTTCAGGAAGGGGTATAATAAATAGATCTTGGTTAACAAGTCATTACCCCCTTGGCTGTCCTGATTCCTTTCCTCTCAAGTGCTGAATTTGCCTCTGCAAATAAGATGTCTGAAACACTGAAGAGGCTTTTTGGGCTGAGCAGGTTTGTCGCATCTTTTTGTGTAGTTCTGTGCAACAGCATTAGTGAGCTGATGATGTGTATGAATGGAAGGCACGATGAGATCAGAGAAGCATAAAAAGTGGTTGCTACCACTGGTTTTTCATATTGGGGTTCTTAATAAGTGATTGTGAGCGGATTCTTCGGTAAGAATTACAGGACAAAGTTTCCCTGTTGCCTTTGCTGGAGGAAAAAAAAAAAAAAAAAAAGAGAGAGAGAACTCAAATGTAATGTCTGTCCTGCCTATTTTATCTGCAGTGTTTTTTAGTTCTGATTTTCTGGAGCCTTTCTTCTACTTAGAAGTCTGATGTAGAAAAAATGAGACTGGTGTTATTAGGAGGGTGATCAAATAAATAGAATCAAATCTGTTTTATTCTAATTTATGGTATTTTTTGACTGCGTATTTGATTAAATAATCTGTATAATGGTTCGGGAACATCAACCTTTGTGCTTATTCATATGAAAATTACTTCCACAAGTCATTTTTTTGGTCATATACATAATGATTACTGTGCAGCATAACTAGCTATAAAATGAAATATGTTCAGTAACAAATTCACTGCATTTTAAGTCTGTTACATTTTTTTTTTTTTTAATATTACACAGGTTATGGATTTTCTTCTCCAAGATCCATGTTGTAATTTAGAGATAAAATAATTCAAGCAGTTGGAGCAATTTAATATTTTTCTTCCGGATCTGTTACTTATAAATTCATATTGATTACTATATACTCTTTGAAACATGTTCTGGGGGTCAGTATGTTCTGTACCTACATCTGAGCTAAATGTTTCTATTAGGCATATATTCTGATAGGATATCAGTTTTCGTTCTAGGAGAGCTTGTTTTGTATGAAGTTGAACCCTAAATTTGGCATTTCTTTGCATCTTAAAGTATTTTCATGACTTTATTACGTCACAATTCAGAGAGTAGGCTGACAGAAAGGAAAACAACAAAACACGCTGGTGAGATCTATAGTGACAATGTTAATTGCTTGTAATACAGATTATCATTAAGATGAAAAGCTTTAATGAATGCTTTCATATTGAGTAAACAGTTAAAGTGATCTAGAGTGATACTTAGCTATCTTCAGTCAGAGCCTGGAGAATCCCATTTAAACTTTCAGTGATCTGTTCTTCAGCTTTGGTGTCATCTCCACAGAGTTCAAGGTAGTCCAGATGATGACTCAGGGTTTCTAAACAGAGCAGGATAGAAAAGTGCTGAGCCAGCATAAAAAGATATTTTGAGATCATTTCTTTTCAGTTATTATGGATGAGTATAAGCTCCTAAAATAACTCATTTCACCCAAAAGCATGGGGGCAAAGTTCTGGTTCCACTTCTCAGACAACACATAGTTCTCCTGCAGGCATGAGCATGCAGAGATTACATCTGGAAAAATCAATTTATCTATAATAAATGGCACAGTTTGAGGCAGGGGGAGACAGAGACAGAAAACTTAAATCTGTCACTTCAAAATATCTTGTTATAATAGTGATAGCACTTGCAGTTCATCTAGCTAAATATATTTTGGTGGTCAGCAGCAGACATATAAAACAATGCAAGAACTCCATTTGTTACTGGCAACCTTGAGCTTTAAAAAGGATACCTACTATTAATATCAGTGTATTTCACACATTTATGGACTTCCATATAATTATGGAATTTTCTTCTATTAATTATGGCTTTCTATTGTGAAAACAGTCTTCATTCTACCTTTGGGGCTTCACCAGATTGCATCTCACATCCAAAAATGGAAAAGCATTGTTAACAGTATCACCTCTGCTCACCTTCATGCCACCTCCTTAAAAATGTTTAGAGAGGGAAGTTGTTCAACTGTCATACAGTCTGTTTTACTGTATTTGAGTAGTTTTTGTGCTTTACTGTAATTCTACTGTCTCCTTGTGCAGAGATCAGACTTCTGTACTTTGAGTTCCCTCATTCCTTGTGCTTTTCTTTGTGTATTCTTGCTGCTTTCCAGATTCATAATTCTGAAGTTGATTTAAATGGCATTCTGCACATCACAGTTAATGATCTGACAATTCATTTCTTAGTTTCTTATAAATTTCAGGGCACAACATCCAGTCCTAAAAACCTGCTGCTGTTTATTTTATTGATTTGTTCTAGATCAGTCTTCTGCCCTTCTAGACTGAAGTTTTCTCTAAATACTCCCTGGAAATAAAAGGATCTTGATATGTTAAAACTAATATAAGAAAATTACACTGTGAAACTAGCAGCTGCAGCAGTTAACTTATTGTAGAATATAATGTAAAATATTATCAAAACTGTAGTATGTTGGATGCTCCAGAAGTAATGCTTCCTGTATTTTTTTTCCTGTGCAAATTAATATACAAAGAGTGCAGTAACACTATTTGATAAAGCAAATTCTACAAAACACTACTTTGTTTCAACAGACACCACTCTTAACTATGCATTTTCACCAGCTGTGGGCAAGAGCCCTCATCCTGTGCTCATTAAAAAGAGAAGTCTGCACCAGCAGAGGTGACTCTGTGCCACCACTGCTGAAATGCACTACTCCCCTTGCCTCACTGTGCTCACATCCACTGTTTGGTCTCCAGAAATGTTCAGCAAGGGTCTAAATGTTCATAGATGTTATCTTTTCCATGTGGATGAATTTAGTGCCACACCTTTTGCTTCATATAACCCTCCATGTCAGAAGTTGTTTTGTCAGACTACTTTTCTGCTGTCATCTATCACATGGCAA